TCTCAAATAGTTCTTCAACAACTTTAATTTTGAGAAACTTTTTCTAGCTGAAACTACAATCACAGGTACAGTTAAGAGGATTCGATAGGCAACTGAAATATTTAGATAACAATCTGCAGTTATAACAAACTCTAGAATCTCAAGCGCTAACATGTCTATTAAGAGCATCTGTAGGGAACTCAAGATTCAATTCTCTCACCAGCCACTTTTTAATCAATATATCTCTACCCTTATTATCAAGATTTTTCCAAGTTCTAGAATCAAAGACATCATGAATAGAAGCTTCTTGCACATCATCAAATGAATTTTCAGGTTGAGAGGAATGCTGTAAATTTTCATTCCCTGTAGCATTATCAATGTCATCAACTTGTTCACTTAAATTATCATTAACTTGTTGCTGTTGCTGTCCTTGTTCTTCAATATCAAGTGCATCTATAGAATTATCATCATGCATAACTGAAAAGACCTAGGATGTCGCCTAGAGGGGGGTGAATAGGCGTTTCTGAAAATTAACACCTTTAAATGCGGAAACGATTAGTAAAGAGAGTTTCCAAAATGGAAACTCCAAATAAAGAGTAGTACCACCCCTCATAAGTTAGTCATAGAGTATACGAGGTATAAAGAATGTATCTAGAAGCTACAACCCTGCAACACAAAGTTAGAACTGTGAATAAATATTTTCAGCACAGAGCTCTAATACCGGACGTGTCCGGTATGAATACCGGACGTGTCCGGTATGCACGGTTTCTGCAGATCAGCCACGAACTTGCTCCTTTCGATTTCTATCTTCAAACCAAATTGCAGGTACCTACTAGAGATATCAGTATACACAGAGAACCTGCACAAGAAGCTGGAGCAACACAAATATCAAATGAAATGCGAATTGAGACACGATATTTGTTTTACCGAAGTTCGGACTCGTTTGACTCCTACTCTCTGTTGAGGGGGCTGCGGGCGCCCCAGCGAAGGTCAGCCCTAGAGGGTACCACGAAGGTCACTCTAGCCGGAGTCTTTTTCATCTCATTTTCCTCCTTCTACTAAATGATTCCGAGGCGGCGGAATCGACCGTTACAAACTTTTCGAAGCAACCACAATCTCTCGGTTGCTCTCCGGCGACGCCTAGTCGTCTAGGACCGAAGAGTCCAAGAGTAACAAATGCGAATCACGAGATTAACAATATGCACAAGTGCTCAAGTGGTGGCTTGCTCTCTTTTTCAAATTCTCTCTTAGCTCACAAATTGATTTTGCAATTTGGATCACACACTCACTAAGAGAGGGTTGGGAGAGTTGGCAAGGCTCAAAAATGTGTCTATCTCAGCAGAATCAGCTGCCTCCAAAGGTGGAGGCTTGGGGGTATTTATAGCCCCCTTGGAAAAACTAGCCGTTTTATAGCCGTTGCAATACCGGACACGTCCGGTATGCATACCGGCCACGTCCGGTATGACTTACACTGCACCAACGGTAACTAAGTTACAGTGAATTTGTGAGGCGTCGAAACTCCCGATGAATGCCGGAACTTCCGACCGTCGGAACTCCCAACTTTCGTTGGAACTCCCGATCCTCAGCACATTTGAAAACATCGGAACTGAGTTAAAGTGTGTGAGGTGTCGGAACTCCCGACGTATGTCGGAACTTCCGACCCTCACGGTATTTGAAAAGTAGCCGTTGGCCTCTGGTCATCCATACCGGACACGTTCGGTATGAATACCGGACACGTCCGGTATGACCACCACAGTGAACACTCCAAATTATTTAAATTGCGAGTCGTCGGAACTCCCGACCATTGCCGGAACTTCCGACCGTCGGAACTCCCGACATGCGTCGGAACTCCCCACGAACCAACCCGAGAACAACACTTTTACAGTTACTGGGCAAATACCGGACAAGTCCGGTCCGGTATGGCCAGACCAGCAACAAGTCAGTTAGCTCTTTTGTCTCTCAAACATTCAAATCTCACATGGATTGGCTTGAGCACTTATGAAACATTATCTATCAACATGATGCATCCCTCTTAATAGTACGGCATTCCTATTTACTCAAATTTAAAAGTATAACGGATTTAAACCTTTTGAGTTGCTCTTTTTGAACCGAAGCCGTGTATTCCAATCTTCATCAAGTGAGAGTGCCAACATGTTGATATTGATCTTTTTCACTAGAGCATAGCCATCTTTGAGCACGTGACTTGATTCCATTCATCATATTTGAATAATCCCAAATGTATCAAGTCACTTCCATCAAACACTCCAACAGTGATTTGATCCTTCACATAAATATGGCCATCATAGCTTGATTAATACCTCAACTAAATGCAAGTACTTCCTTCTTCACCCTAGCTAGGTTCTTCGGCTGTCAAGCCATCGCTTGCCCTTCACCCTTGCTTAGTACCTCGAAGCCTTTCCTTGCTATCTTCACCATCTCAAGCCATCAAGTCACATCTTGTGTTGAATCATTCATTCATGTATTGTTATCTTTTTCATTTCAATTTTAGCAAGTTTCAAATATGAGATCATTCCATATGCAAACCCTTATGTCTCATTAATTAATTCTCACAAGCTTGCTTTTACATAGTACATAGAAATCCCACAATAAACAAGTCTTTGCATGAATTCCATTTGCATTGTTATCTTATGCTTGAACTAGATTGTTTATACAACAACATATCATTTTGGCTTTCATTAAGTATCTGTGAGATAACCTATTACCTGTCCACACTTAGCAAACGGGTTAGACCTTTAATCACGTTGTCATTCAATCATCCAAAATTCACTGAAGGGCTAGATGCACTTTCAATAACACTGCTTGAAGCTGAAAAAAAACTTGTGTATAGCACATTTTTGAGATTCAATAAATTGATCTTCTACTCTTTTCCGTTTTCTTTTCTTAGACCCCGACAAATATTTCTTAGGTAACATTCAAAGTTTCTAACACCTAAATTAGAAGAAAACACACGAGAACCGAGTACTAGAAGTCCGAAATAATTAATTTAGATTAAAAACGATCAAGGAAAAAATACCTAGATCGTCGCCTTGCCGTCGTTTGCGTCCCGTACCCACCTACGGCCTACCCGGCGTTGTACCGGACAACCAAGGGACAGCCGGACGGGAGCCACAGTGCCTGTGCCGCACGCGCGGTGTCGGCGAGATGGATCACGGACGGCGATTCGCATTCACCCTTCGACGGCACGGGCGTTCGACCGTTCGTGTAGGGTTCTGGGCGTCGAGCGAGCGTTCACGTAGACGCGTTACGCGTAGTATACCTAAAGGCTAAAGGGCCTGTATACGTGGGGTCCTAGGCTGGGCCCCCTCTCGTGGGCCCTAGGCCATCACACCCCGTGCACCCTTGCAGGGCCGACACTGGCCTTCATCTGCGTCATGTCCTCGCTTCTCGCCACGCCACTCCCCGCGCGCTGCACTCTCTGCCTGCCCCGCGCCCTCCTCCATCTCCACCGCATTTGAGCAGGGCCACCGAACCGCCATCCTCCCTCTCCACCGCGCTTACCGACCGCCGCGCAGGAGAGGGGGGTCGTCACTGGCCAGGCCTAGGCCAGGCGCAGGTGTAGATGGCCGCTACCAAGTCACGCCACCATCCTCGGCCGCCACGGGCTACCAACCGTTCCCCACTCTGCTCTGCATCGTCCGGGAGAACAAGGACATGTTGCAAGCGTATGTTTCAAGTGCTTTAGATGTTTCATAGATATATTGCAAGTGTTTCATACGGATGTTGCAAAAGTAGATCGGGATGTTTCATATGTTGTAATGGTTGCACATGTATGTTGCAAGCTTCCGTTTTCATTGCTTTATCTGTTTTTTCAGACACATGTTGCAAGTATGGATATCTGGATGGTGCATATGTTTCATACATATGCTGCAACTGTGTTGATCTGGATGTTGCGTATGTTTGCAATTTTTTTGAAGTGTTTTTCATGTATTTTGTAAGTGTTTCAGGCACATGTTTCAAGTGTTTCAGATGCCTTCATACTATGTTTCAAACGCTGCACCAGTAGATCAGGTGTTGCAAATGTTGCAACGGGACCCACCTTCGCAACCACCGGCTGCAACTGCTGGGGTGCCGCCAAGCGGGCGCAGACGACGGAGGAGGTGCGAGCGGTCCCACGCACAGTTTAGCAGTGCGGGCAACGTCCGAGCGGTGTGGACCCCGTGTGAGCGCGCGAAACGCAGGCGCGCTATCATGGACGGGGGCTTGCCGACGTGGGGGCGGAGTGCAGACGCGCATGGAAAACGAAGTACAGGCGCGCCCGCCCGTCCGGACGTCCTAGCCCTAGCACTGCTCTTTACCGTGTGGTGTGACCGCGTGTAGTCCACGTATTGATGTTGACCGGCAGCGTGGGTTGGCTGTGCTTTGGTTGTGGTTAATTGGGCCTCCAGCTGCTTCGTCTTCCTGGGCCGTCCTTGTCCTTGCGGAGGTCGTCCGGTGTCCTCGGTGCTGTCCCTGTCTCTTTCCTTTGTCCTCTCCAAGAGCTCCTGTTTCCGTGCTCTTCGTCGGCGGCTCCGTCGCTGCCCTCCGCTCGGCAATCCAATCCGTTTGCTTCTACATACAATTGCACGACGTTCAGTTCCATCCCCACTCCGTCCTCGTCCTGATACGCAGTTCATCGTCTACGAACAAACGAACGAAAAAAAGCTACACCGTACGTCGTTCTCGACTCGATGTCAGGAGAGGAGCTGCCAGAGGACGTCCTGCCGACGGTACTCGCGGCTCTCGAGGTCCCAGACCTCCTCCGCGCGGGCTGTGTCTGCTCCTCCTGGCGCCGCGCCTGCAACTCCCTTCGTCACGAGTGGCAGCTCGGGGCTTGGATCCGGCCGCAGACGCCGTGCCTCCTCTACACCAACCGTCCTCCGGCGACAGTGCCGCAGGCCTCTACAGCCTCGCGGAGGAGAAGCCGTACACGCTCGCTCTCCCGGACCCTCCTATCCGAGTAGCGGATCCAGGCAAAATTCGACTGATATCTTAAATACTACGTCATGGCCTTAAGTTCACGTATGAGCAAAATCTCAGGCAGCAATGAACAGGGCTGGCTCCGCCCCAGCTGCTACCTCATCGGCTCCGCCTACGGCTGGATCGTCACCGTCGACAGGAGGTCCGAGCTCCACCTCCTCAACCCCATCAGGGGTGACCAGATCGACCTCCCGTCCGTCACCACCATCGAGCAGGTCAGGCCACTCCGCGACTGGTACGGTGCTGTTCGCCTGTACGAGTACTCGTGGTACACTGCAACCCACACGGAACGCTTAACGCCATCAGTCTTTCGCCTTCATAAGCTGCGGGATTATCTCTTTCAGAAGGCGTTCTTGTCCTCCGATCCGTCCACTGGATCCTACACTGTTGTGCTCATCCATAACCCGTACTGGCAGCTCTCGTTCGCGAGAGACGGGGATGACCACTGGACCTGGTTGCCAGACGGTGTTATGTATGCAGATTGTGTCTTTAAGGACGATGGCCTACTGTATGCAATGCGGGTTGATGGTGAAATCCACGCATACGATCTAAGTGACCCTGCATTGAAACCACGAGTTGTCATGGATGGGTTTAAGGTCGGGCCTGGTGGAATCTACATTGTCCAAGCTCCATGTGGTGATCTGCTGCAAATTCACAGGGATCTTGAGTATCCTGATGAGGAGGATGAAGAGGTGCCTGGTGACGAACCTGACTTAGACCCACCAGACGATGATGAGTATTTCTCAGAACCGGACAGGGCTACATCAGAATATGATGCAGAACCGGCGTGGTGGAGCGTATCAGAAGATGGTGCAGAACCAGAGTTAGACTCTATGCCACTTCACGAAAAGGTTGTGTTCAAAGTATATAGAGTGGACTTGACAGCAAAGAAGTTTGTGGAAGTAAGTAGTTTGGGTGACAATGTGCTGTTTCTTGGGCTCAACCAATCACTCTGTCTATGCGCCAAAGAATATCCAGAACTGAAGGGGAATCATATCTACTTTACTGATGCTTTTGGAAAGCATGAAAAACGTGATATGGGAGTTTTTAACTTGGATAATCTGACCAGCGAGAAAATTGTTTCTCCTCGGATTTCGTCCAACTGGCCACCCCCCATTGGATAGTACCAAATCCTAGAAAGATGAATCAGGCATTGCTCTGTAAGGTGTGAGATCATGTCCTATATAAAAAAGGTCATCTTTTACCCTTATTCATTCCATGCTTGTAGTATTATCCTGTAACATGCAACTGTACGTTATTGTGAAAAGGATAGGAGTGCTTTATTTGTTGCTTGGTGCAAATGGCTTACCACTGACGGTCTCATTGTAGCTCTTTCATCTTTCATGTTTATAATAGTAGTTCTGGTGTCTAGGAATCAGCAGCTATACAGTGGTATTGGCCTATTATTCAGGGTGGTCGGCACAGTTTTTTTTAGCTGCTGCAGCTGCAACTGCAAACACTGTACTAGCAGCGGCTTATGGCAGCAGCTGCAGCGAACGAAGCAATTGGGTTTAATATATACTTTCACTTCTGAAAGGATCTAGTTCTTTTGGAGGAACATTGTTGGATCTGTGACAGTGAACGTGGGTATTTGCTTGTTCCTTGCTTGAATAAAGAAGAAATCATGTGTATGAGTTATTTTCAGGAAGACTTAATTTTAATGGCCATTTTTTACATCACTAGACTTGTAGTGGTATCTGCTAATGGGCATGTCAGCATGTGGGCCATTTTAGCTCTCTGGAACTCTAAAGAAAATGTTATTTTCCATGAAGCTGCATTTCTGGTTATATTTCAGAGAAGATAGATATTTCTATCTTTTTTGTGCATCTGAATGAACTTGTATTTGCAAACTTTGAGCCAGTCATACAAAGATTCAGATAACTCTATTCATAATGTACCTTCATTTTTTACCCCCAAAAAAATGTACCTTCATTTGAAATTTATACATAAGGAAATTGGTATTTCGTGTAGGTGGTCCTAAAGCTACATGTGGTGGATGCATGGGATTTGGTACCCTCTCGGTGCTGATTCAGAAGTTATTTGATCGCCGTGCTTGAGCCAGTGCACCACGTCTCCTTATCACAGTAAAAGAGTTTCCGCATTCTAAATATTTGCTTGGCAGGCGTGTTTGCTCTTGCTTGTTGGACCTGTCACTGTTATTATTCACGCAGAACTGTAATTTTACTAGCTTGTGCTTTGTACTTGGTCACCTGATCTGTTCAGTGATGTTGTTTTTGTGTGCTGATTTGCTGGTTCTGAAATGTTGAACATTTGGATCTGAGAAACGATAGCTATGTCACTATGGCTGTCCTGCTGCCTTCCTGTATATTCTGGTCTTGATAATTGCTGAAACAGCAACCAGGTCCGATGCATGCTATTTCTAAAAGAAATGCCTACTGTTTCTTACTGGTACACTCTGCAAGAGCTAAAACTAACGATACGAATTGGTTAGTAAAAAGAGTATCAGATCGAAGGTTGGTCTTTGAAACATCCGGTTAAGAAAGAGTCTTTACAATACTCTTCTAGTAAGGGAGGTCAAGAGTTAGCTTTCATCCTTGTACCATATGCACTTTCCTTAACCTTTTAGGTACACATAGAGATAATGGCTGGTCCAGATTTGTTCCTTTCGTTCACGGCATCTCGTTAGTCGCCTCAGCACTCACTCATCACCACAATTCCTTTCCACGGCCATTGAAAACGGCAAAAATGATCTTAGGAAAAAGTAATCGCTTTCCGCGGCCATTGAAAACGGCAAAAGTGATATTTTTTTTTAAAAAAAAAGGAAAAAGTAATCGCTAAAAGGGTTGCAAAGACTCCGGTCGACACAGGCACACAGCCATTGGGTACAGAAGGCTCGCCAGTTGCTCTCCTTTTTCTCATGAAATAATCACGATTTGCGAATGCTGCAGCACTAGGATATTCCATGGTTTATGTGCCAAAGAAAAAGGATGCAATATGTAGTATAACACTAATTACGTACTGCCACACTTACTTGATTCAGTGCCAAGTTTTCTAAAATTCAAAATTGAAATATAAACATCAGATCCCAAATAAATAATTAACTCTGATTACACTGAAGAGGAGAGAATGTTTGGCTATGAACGAGGGTACTATACAAGTACAGATATACATAAAGAATGTTGAGTGATTGGTGAAGCACTTTGCTCCTTATTAAACTTGGGAAGGAGAAAAGAGTTTCAGCTATGTTGCCAATGGCCTCCCAGAATCTAGGAGGCAATCCAGACGTGAACTATTTCCAGTTGGTAGGAAGCTACTCAGGTCAATCAAAGCAAACCAAGAATGCTTTGTTTCATGCACTCAAGCTATGTTTTCCTAGCTCCGTGTAGTTCACCTCTAGCTGCTCAACCTTCTCAAACTTAAATCCACGGATCCTGATCTCTTCCTTCTCCGAGGTGTCCTTGTAGTCGACGTGCTGGATAGTCCAGCCTTTATTTTGTACATGACCGGTAAGTTTAACCTGCAAACAGACATGAATGCATGGTATGAACCGCTGGAGTATGAGCAAAATATTTCATTGCTAAGGTAATAACCAAACTACTGAGGTATCTGTAATATATGCCAGGACTCTGGGTTAACGGTGCTCAATGTTATGTATTACCTCTGCTTCATCGATAGCATTGACAATAAGAGTGCCGTCCAATGAGAGGCCTTCAAGGAAGACGTGCTGACCATTGATGACCAAAGCTGACCTCTGAGAAACTGAAGAGTTGCCATGCACTTTCTCCTTGACACTCTTGAAGGTGAGACCCCACCGTGGGCTCCAGGTTATGCGTGGCCAAACCTCTACCTCTTGCCCGTTGAAAGTATCAACAATAGGGTCAGCTATCTGTGCACCAGCCTGGAAATGGGGAGGAAAAGGAGCTCGTTGAGCTGGAGCACAAACAGTTTGAGAACTAGCCCATGGTCATTGGCCAGCGTGCCCTTGCCAAAGGAATATGCTAATGGAATCACCTTTCTCAAAATAAGGCTGTTCGCCCTGTAAATTGCCATCTCTCCCGAGGTTGCACTATGATAAGGATTGCCTTTTGGAACCTGCAAGAAGCCATATCAAATCTTATGATTATATATATAAACACCACAGGGACGCAAAACTGTGAAAAAAACCAGGTGCTTTAAAGTAACAGAAGCGTGACCAAGGCTGATGCATACTCTCTGTAAACAAATATAGATAGTGTCGTTAGAGGTGAATGGAGGAACTATAGTTAAATCCAACCTTTACTACAGGAAAAGGTCTAACCCAAGTACCTAACAATTAACAGGCCTATCAATTCAAATCGAGTCCCCTCAGCAAAGTGCTTCACAATAATAGTAAAAATCTAACGAAGCAAAATAAGAAAATCATCTCAGAGCGAGTTGGAACTTGGAACCATACTTTAGCTGCGTCTTCAGGATTATTCTTCACAGGAGCATAAGCAAGCCATGTATCCATCACCTAGCATATAAGTAAATCAAGCCATAAAGGCATGATAATAAGAATACAATAATTAGGAGGATGAATCGTGAAAAATCCAGTAAAAATTATAAATAATAGTTAATAACATGAATGTCTTATGAGTAAGAAATAACACATGTATGAATATCATGTACGGTTGTTCAATCTAGTGTTGTTCTTCCTAGAGAAATAAGAGCAACATTTGATTACACCCACTCTCCCGTGATTGTGGTGTTTCTCCCTTATCTCTGAAAGGTAGAGCAGCACTTAGGATTCCTAACAGAACACTGAAAACAGATTGCCTTTTTAAGAAAGTATATCATGTGAGGATAAGTGGATAACTACTCTTCAATACAAGTTTTCCTTTCCTGATAGTGCCCATTAATTATAATTGGAGTGAAAGCACTGCAAAGAATCTATAGAATTCCTAATGCTGTGTTATAGCTACCTCATGAACAAGATAGCACATTGGTAAAATAGCAAGCTTGGGAGGCCTACAGGCTATATTGAGTACTGAAAGCGGGAAAGCAGAGCACTAAACTGATAAAGTTGGTTAACTGATGCATGCTTAAGACTAAATGGATTATCAACTGCCTCTTACCGTGAATCCAACTTTTGCTGAGGGAGGCAATGTCTTTGGATAGTCTTGCATCATGCACTCTAGACGAGTGGAGGATTTAAATGCTGTCTTGGTCGAATCAGTATACCTAAATTGAAGAAAAAAAATGATCAGAGGATAGGGTTAAACAAAGGACAAAAATCCATATTAAAAAGTTGTACACAAAACCAAGATAGAAAAAAAAACTTTAAATATCAATATCACTATAAATAGAAGTACGTAACAGCAAGTGGTTAGAAAAAATTACTTGGGATTTACAAATTCAGAAATGGCGCCATGTGTTTTCTTGAGCTCCTCAATGTATGGTCCAAGCTCCAGTATCAACTACAAAAGCTCAGTGTTTTTCTTAGTACAACAAAATATGCAGCTTGAATGTAACATCATATAATAACATTGACAGAGTTCTGTCCAGTTTTAAAAGCAATAGATAAAATGAACATAAAAGGTTATAATGCACATAATGTGACATTGAAGGTAACAGCATCCACAAAACTCATATTGGTGTTAGCATTACACCTCCAGATCATAAGAGCAGGACAATCATTAATAGACGGTTCACGGTTCACCCTCATCCGAAGGGGAAAATCAATAAGACATGTTTTCAGTATTTGGTGAACCAAGAGTCCATGGATCTCTTGACGTGTCTGAACATGGTAAATTATCCCTTTGGAACATAATTTACCTGGTTTATATTTCCAGGATATGGAGAATAGCCTGTCTCACAATTTGAATCTCCATCAGGATGTCCAGTTGCGCGAAGGAGTGGATCAAGCTGATTGTACTCTACGTTGATCACCATTGTTCTACCTGTGCACAAGAATGGAGTTATGACAAATTTGAAAAAACCATACCATCAGTGGTTCAAAGAAGTGAAATGCATTCTTTTGTTAGCCAATTAGAAATTTAGAATACCAGTATGGAACAGTCGAGAAATGATTCTCCTAAATCCTTGTAGATATAAGGATAGTTTTCTTGATTTTCATAATACATACCCACAAAAGATTGAAGCCCTGATTGAATAAATTTTTTTGCTAAAAAATATCACAATGATCCACAGTTTTTTTGTCTAAAACTTAAAAGTCATGAGAAGCTCATATCAAATGGGGTAAATGATAGTAAAACCCTACCATCGACATGAGTAAGTTTGGTAATTCCTCCAATTGCTTCCTTAGCCTTCCTAGGAACTGCGAGAGAATTTACATTGTAACCCTTGGTGGCACTGACACCTAATGCTGATGGTATTGCCTACAAAATAATCAAGAAAATCAAGTCGGTTCTCTGTAATAAAAGGTCTCTGAGCTCAATGAAGCAGTTGGCCACAAATATATAAGGGGTCCTTGGAAAGGTACCAAGAGATAGCACAATTACAACTAGGGGGTACCCATTTTTGTACATAGGCACTACAATTCAGTACCTTAGGTACCAGATTCATGTAATAATTTTGGTACCTCTTGGTACATTTTCAAGAATAGTAAAAAAGCTCTATCTTTTAACAGTAAAATTATAACACAGCAGGGAAGCCAGTGTACAAACATTGAAAAGCAATCCATTTGTATCCTGGAAAAAGAGAACCCACTTCCGGCCTTCACTCTTCCTAACAAAAGAATACACAGTATAGTTTCATTAAATTACTTCACGATATATGGCTGCTAATTTTCTTCAAATGGAAGAAACCGCCAACAGTGGTGAATTTTTTAATCAATGAGCATACCATTGCTCAAGCAAGCCACTTGAATAAAGAAGAGAATGAACATCTCCATGCCCATGTGGCTTTGTCTGCCAAGTCACAAAAGTGGTAGTAAGAAAGGTGGACAGAAACTCAGTGTATGTGGAAATGATATGGTGCTATATTCAAACACAATGTTACTGATCCTCGAATGGAAATTTCCAACCTGAATTTTGTACTTCTCACTTGGGTCTAATGCAAGCCTTGCATCATTGTCAGCTAGACACGCTACTTTTTCCTAAAAATGGAAGAGAATGTACAGTCAACATCAAAAGTAGCTGCTATGTGCTTTGCATATATAAAAGCTAATTTTTTCTCCTGACTAGCACATGAAAAAAGAAACAGAAGGAACCTGCTTTAGTATTTTCACTTGAGATGGTTCCATTCCAAAGTAGGAGTTTGACTCTAAAAGCTTGATAGTTAGAGCATTTGTATCATCAGAAGTCATAATAATGAATGGAATCTTTGTTTGGCACCCCTCTGCATGGCAGATGAATATCATCAATCAGAATAAAGCAAGACCTGAATATTCTCTAAGGTCCAGCATGTATTATGTGTAAAGAATGAAACTGGCAACTAAATCAAGCAATTGCCAGATACAAAGGGACATAAGATAAAAGAAAATGAAATCAAGACCTTAATGAAAAGATCGAAATTCATTTGTAAGAACTAAAACAATGATAGGCTCCATAGAGAAAGTACTTGTAAGTCACTAATCCACTACAGATAAATGTAGAGTACATACCATCAACCATTTTGCAGCTGGCCTCTTGTAAAGCCAGGATAGACTCTAGATAATGTTGAAGGAAACATTTTCCAGTAGTTGTTTCCCGCGGAAGTGCTACCTGACCAAAGAAAGTAACAAAATCACCAGTGAAAAATTTCAGAAACATGGTTGGCTTATCTCTAAATTTTCAAGGCCACAAGATACTCTTAATCCTGTTTTAGAGTCATACAGTTAGTACTTTGAACTAGGAGTTAATATACTTTACCGTCTGTAAATCATTAAGCTTTCTTACAATCAAGTCCTAAATGATGTTTTTATTTTCTGTGCAGGATGATGTGCAATATCAGCATTCAGCAAGAGAAAAACCTTAACCAAATAACTATCAGTAATCAGTAGGAGAAAAAAAATAACCAAATAATACTAGCAAAATCAGAGTTACAAGACACCATACCAGTACAACAACTACAGCATCTCGTTTGAGTTCCAACTAAAGTGTGCCTAGCTACTGTACTACCTCATGACACAAGCTTAGATAGTAGTTTGCTATTAGCAGCTCAGCGCATACCTTAATTCCTTTGTAACCAAGCCTTTCACCAAGCCCTCCGGCTACAAGAACAAATGCAGCATTGCGGGCTTCTTTTATCCCAGCTGCTTCCAGTGAAACAAAATTGTCATCGCCAAAGGTCAAAACCTCACCTGAAGGCACCTGTAAGTAAGGTATGGCAAAGTTTATTAGCTGTGTCATCAAGAAAAGAGGAAAAGTAAAGAAAGTAGAGAATTGCCCAAAATAACATAAAGAGCATCCATTTAAAGCATCAATTTATCTCAAGCAGTCATTTTCAGGTTGTGGTGTATTAAACTATTCATAGAACAATTCCCATGAAAAGGATAGATATTGAGGCCAAGCTAAACCATTGGTAAAAAAAGACTTACAGAAGGGGTGAAACCATCATATGGGTTTTTGCCTGCCTTTGAATCCGCAAGAAGTTTTTTGGCATTCTGGATGTAAGATACCAGACCTCCAGGATAGCTTGAATTAAGTCGGCGAACCTAAGGCAATGACAAATTGACAAAATTAGAATACAAGGAAAAAAAACTTTATAAATTTGTGCTTATGACTTCCTTGCATAGATTATAATGCTACTCCAGTCACAAAAAAGAGATGTCTTGGGCATCGGCACAGTCTTCAAAACATAATTTTACTAACACTTTTTGTTGCAAAATATTTGTGAAAAATAGAAAATGTCTACTTTTATGAAACTACATTGCACTATATGTTATGAGTTTGAATACACACCTGATCAAAGAAGCCTCTTTTCTTGTCATCATCAACACCTGGTTCAGGCCAGTGTTCAAACAGGTGAATCTGGCCCTCATTCAACAGCATTTTTGCTAGCCCAACCTAGAATCACCAGGCAATAAGAGCATTGTAGCAAGAGAAAAACAGAAACAGGTGTTTTAATCCATCAGTTGAATAAACCTAACATGGTATGTCTCACCGCAGAGACTAGTACATTTAGATACACTTTGTTCTGAAATAATGGTGAGCAATCATTCAGCCAAACCCTGGGCCAATTGGTACTTTCGTGATTCTTGATGGGGGGCCAAGTTAGATGTACATCAGTTGAGGACCTTGCTGAACATGTGAAAAGTGCAGTAGAACTTAAATTATTCGCTCAAAGGACCACATTGTTTATTATACTAACAAAGAACACTGTTCACAACTGAGAACAGAGGAATGTACAGATGTACCAAAGTATTCATACTCGTAGTAAACATTTTTACACAGGAAATTAATGCTTGAGCACAAGTATATGATCTACAGTATCCAGATGAGTATGAGAACCATGCTTCCTAGTCCCACTGTGGGACTGTGGCAGGAGCAGAGGGTGGTTAAACTTTGGAACGACACCGGTACTGTTTTAGGAACCAGCAGTCACCATCATGAAAAACTGAAAATCACAGAACTAAACTCCATTTCTTCTAGAATTGTTGTGTCAAGAGGGAGGAAGTCCCAAATTGTAGCGGTGGAGGCGGGTCCACTTCGCCCCCACCGACCGGGCACCGTCAACACGTGAGGGGACTTCAAAGAATGGCAGCGAGTCAGGGTAGTTAGCCGTACCGTCCAGCGTCCGGCATTCAATCATCAGGCGCTACACCTAAACTCCTCCAATCTAGTAATCAGTAATAATCACCTACGCGGCATGCGAACATAACGACCAAGTTCCAAGTCAAATCAAACGGCAGAGCCTCCGCGCACACACAACGGGGGCGGAGCATCGCATCACGGTCGACGAAGCGAGAAAATTAGAGAAAATTTGGAATCCGCAGCGAGTGGAATGAGGCGTGAGATCGGCGAGGTTCGAGCGCCGCATCTAGCACGGGCAAAATCAACCGGCAACAACAGAACTGCCAGTACGACGGCGCGACTCTTCTTCTTCTTCAGTACATAAGTACTCCGTATAACATACTAGCAGGCGGCGCTCACCTCGTCAGGCGCGAGCAGCTGCAGGTTCCGCCGCAGCGGCGGGCACGCCGCCGCCCACTCGCCGGCGCCGTCGCCGGCGCCGGAGATCCCCAGCGCCGCGACCCCCGCCGCCGCGGCGTCGGCGCCCGAAGCCATCGCGGGCGAGGAGGTTGAACTGGAGGGCGGAGGAGACGACCCGCGTCGCGTCGGTGACTGTCAGTTGCGTGACTGCGTCGTCGTCCTTCCGCGGAGGGGAGGCGGAGGTGGGCACGCTTCACGGGGCGTGCAGTGGCAAACCGTTTCCTCGCTGGCTCTCTCTCCTCTGCGGTGGTGTGATTCGTCGGCTTCGAAGGTTGGTTTGGAAGGATCGCGGCTGCCTACAAGAGACGAGTAGGATTGGTCATAGCTGTGGGCCTGTGGGTACCCAAAAACTGTTTTTTTTGAGAAACCAAAAAACTGTAATGATGGCGGCCGCTAGCATTTATCGGCCTCGGGGACAAGCCCGATCGCGACAAGCCCACAGCCGCAGAGGCCCGGCCCGTCTCTCATATCATGGGCCGAGTCGAAATTAAGCCCAAAATATAAAATAAATTTTGGGGAAAAATATATAATGAAAACATTCATAAGTAAGGCTCTTTTTAGCAGGGATTTTATTGTGCTTCTCCACCAGCTTAATCAAAAAGCACTACCAAATGAACATCCATAAGTTAGTACGAGGGTATTTTGGTCCATCTGGTGTAAAAAGAGCACTATAAATAGTGTCTCCCCTATTAATAAAGAGCAAGAGATTACTGTTCACTATTTTCCCATTCCACTATTGCACCTTTGCTATTTGCTCCGTATCCGAGTCCGGATATTCACTAGTCCGAGTCCTAGATCCGGCATCCAATACTCAAATGGACAAATTTTTGTTTATCTTTCATCTTTTCGTATCAAGGACAACATGAAGACATGTGCTTGATAAGAAGATATTTAATAATAATAAAAATAGAAATGTGAAAAACAAAATAAGGACATGTGAGATAACCATGTTACTACATCCCATCCGAATATGCCATCCCTATATTGAAAGATGCACGAAGTGTTAAATAGTGTCTCCACCTAATTAATAAAAAGTCAAAGAGTTTAAACTGTTCACTAAAATTTTCCCATTCCACTATTGACAAATTTGCTATTTGATCCGCTCCTATATTTTCATATAAAGTTATTTGGACCTAGTCCTAAGAGCTCGGCTATAAACTTGGTTAAACTTGGACAAATTGTTTGTTTATCTTTCTTTTTTTCGGCCAAGGACAAGGGCCAAGAATATATGTGCCTTTTATTTTATTCGAAGAGATTTTAATACCACTCTTCTTCTTTTATTCGGAAAAAAAATAGTTTGGGAAATGAATATTGGAACAAGGACATGTGCTTACCATGTTAGTACATGCCACGGAATATGCCAAGGCTATATTGTAATGTACTGTATCAAGTGTTAAGTACTCCCTCCGTCCACGAAAGAATACAATTCTCACATCCCGAAAAGTCAAAGAGTTTAAATTTTGACTAAAATTATATGAAAAAGTATTAACACCCATGAGACAAAATATATACTATTAGATTAGTTATAGAATATATTTTTATATAAATATATTTAGAGACATAAATGCTAATACAATTTACTATAAACTTGATTAAACTTGAGACAGTTTGACCGACATGGTTTCCATAATTGTATTCTTTCCTAGACGGAGAGAGTACTAGGCACCAAGTGACCAAGGGCCCAAGAATATATTTCGTGGCCTTTTTATTTTATTCATTTTTATTTTAAGTTTGTTTTTAATACCACTCTTCTTTTATTCGGAGCATATTACTGTGTGTTTGGTTTGCAGGATGGACTGAGATATCTTGGTTTGAGCCAGATGACCTGTTGTTTGGTTGAGGGGCTGTGTGGGTTGTATACCAAAAGCCAGTGATACCCTCAGCCCCTTTCTCTTTCCTCAGTCGGTCAGCCGAACGCTCCGGAACCAGGTTTCCAGCGGCGACGCGGCGGCGCGGCTCCTTCTCCGTCCGCCCCGCTCCCCCCTACTCGTGCCCGCGGCTCCTCCCTCCGCCCCGCTCCCCCTCGGCGGCGCGAGTACCGGCTGAGGCGCCGCGCGGCCTGCAGCGGAGCCCGCCCCGACCACTCCTCCCGGCGGCGGCGCGGCCACCAGGGCTGCAGCGGAGCCCGCCCCGACCCCTCGCCCCGGCTCGCGCCCGCGGCGGCGCGGCTGGGGCCTCGCCCGCTGCCCCGCCCCCGCCCGGCCAAGATCTGATGATCTCATCGCCCCCTTCAGCCTGGTTGGTTGGTACGCCCTGCTCTCCAAATCAAAGTAGCCTCTTCGATTCAGACTTCAGTTCAGGCATCAGTGAAATTGTAAGATAAGGTTGTTCGATTTGTAAATTAGATTAATCTCTACGGTTTCCAAGATTTGTTGTACTTCTTTATGCTTGTCTGATCTGATTTACTAGATTTTGCGGCCGACGTGTTCTTGTTGTAGATTATCACGAGTATGGATTTCGTAGTCAGAGTCCAGACCAGACAAAGCTTTGGTTCTTGAGATGCTGGTTCTTGTTCCAATGGGAATATTGGTTGCTTATGTCAACCAAACATAGTGAGGGAAACTTAATGATGTCATTTAGACCTCTATGTTAGTGTTTGACATGTCATTTAGACCTGTATGTTGGCTTCTATTATGGTACTATGATGACATGTTATATGGATATGGTTTATATGTACTAGTTGTGTGATATTAAATTGTGTTTATGTGGATTGTCAGCTGAATTGCTGTCGAGTTTTTCTAAAAATTTTGTATAAAAATTGTCAACTTGCTGTCTGAAAATAGGGGTAAAAACACAAATAACATAATAAAACAGGGTAAAAACGCATGGGCAAAGTTGTCCTTTTGTCCAAAAGTTAACACTGTTAGAGGGACTTCACAGACTAGGGGTAAAGTCTTCCTTCGTTTAAAAATCGCAGGGGTAATATCACAAAGTTAAAAAAACGAGGGCAAAATCACAAATGCGCTTCAAAACAGGGGTAGAAAGGCTTAAGCCCCTTACATTTTTATCTAATGTAAGCGAGGATAACATAGTTCACACTTTCATGGCCATGAACAAGCGTAAAGCAAAATCTCTCAAGGCGCCGTTGTTTCCTTACCTGCTGCGACCATATCGGTTCCCCAGCACCTGCTGCTGTTGGACCCCTTCCTCAAGGTGCCACCTCCGGCTCTCTTCCGCAAGCTCTGGCCTGCTGCTGGCCCATTGCTGGTTGATGCTCTGCTCTTAGTAGTTTATACATCATGAGTACCAGGGCATGTAGGCAGGATGACTATACTGCTGACTAGGCTCGATTGTACGATTTGGAAACATTGTTTGATCTGCATCAATTCAACATCCACAACCACATTCCATTAATTAGGATTCTGCATGCAAATTGAATGGACCAAATTCAGTTATAGACGGTCAAATGTGTCTAAAGTTTCTGGGCTGTAATACACCTTTTGTTCTTACACAGATTGACTAGCATCTGCCTACAAATCATTCCCCTTGGTATTTATTGAGCACTGCAAGTGGTTGAGGTAAACATGCTGAGGAGCATCTTGAGCCAGTCATGGAAGAGAGGAGCACATATGCTACGTGAAGGAAATTCAGCACCAGCTCTATTAACTTGCTGGAGTCAATTTCACAGCGGTTAGGTAACACAGAGCATTGTCTGACAGCAATAAGTTTAACCCTCGGAGTTCTGTCGTTATAATGATTAAATGAGCAGATTTTTTAACTCAGCAACTTACACACCATGAAAAGTAAGTTAAGATGCTTAATGGATGATGTGAAGATGATGATGCTGAAGATGCAAATTTTGACAAGTTTTTTGATTCCTGGTTGGATTAGTGCTAAGTTTTTTTTTATCAAGATTTTTAGGATGAAACATCCTGGTTGGATTAGTGCTAAGTTTTCTTTTATCAGTTCTATCTGGATTGTGAATTACTGCATGCAATTGGATTTAGAACATGAACGATGAAAGTTTGACATATACTGTATGATTGTACCACTATCACTCATGTCTCAAGTGATAGGTATCTCTCCTAGGTCAAGTGATTGTACAATAGCTTGTCTCGTAATCCATTCTATTCCTAAAAGACTAAGCAAATCTATGATGGCTTGTTTGATGATAAGTAGACTCACATACATTAGTTTGGATTGTCTTCTTGTATACAGTAAAGTTGGGACGGTCCATGTTACTCCCATAAAGTATAGCCAGAATTTGCTTAACCCCCTAAAGCGTTTAATTAACCCTTTTGCTGCTAACAGTTCCCGGTGCACTAGATTAGACGGTTTTGTCAAGTAGGAAGACCAGTGGTGGTCGACCTAGCCAATTAGGTTATTTTGTTCCACGGAAAGATTAAATAGCTCATGGTTGACTAAACATAATGATACGATGTCCAACTTTTGCTTCATGCCAAGAATTTGAGGCCATTTGACAGCTGCGCTGATGTAGCCGGCGTTTCCTAAAGGCCTTGTTAATGTGGTACCAACACAACAGAAGCAATCAAGCAACAGTAGGATGGGAATGATTGTCGCTGTGCCACCTGAAGATTTGCATGGACGTGTGCCTTACAGCACAGCTTCACGTTAAGGAACAGTAGACGTTGACCGTATAAGCAGCACCGCAAACTTCATTCGTGCTGGCATATCCTTGAGAATGTTGTCGATATTGCCTGCAACATTGAGGGACCCATCAACTTTGACATTTGCCTCAACGCCGAGTATGCAGATTGGTTGGCCCCTTTCTCGGTGTGGTTAGCTGTGACATGGCAAGCACGCTGGAGGTTTGCCTTTATTCTGGCACGGTGAACTCTTGTGGTTCTTCAATTTCATGGTGAGATGAGGCCGTTACAATAACATAACACAGATAGCAAATCTATTGATATAAGTTATTCTGGTTGGCAAGACCAAGCAGACTTTACATCCATGTTGCAAAGCCGAGAATGGCTAGAAGGAAAAGGTGAAAATGATCTGGTTTAACAAAGAGAGAGGATTGCGTTAGGGGGCTAAGCGGATATCGGACATACTTCCAGGGAGTAAAATTAACTTATTCCTATAATGTTCTTGCAAAATCCAGATAAATCTTTTCCCTCTGTGGTAGTGCCTAGAAGAAATCACATGCCTGAACTGGGTTTTAGTCTTGTGGGCATGGAAAGCTGTAAGCTGCACTTAGATGAGCAAACGCGTTGAATGATTCATTGACCAAAGATGCAATGGCACTTAAGCTCAACATACTACTTAATGAGTCAGAATACCATGGCTCCTGCAATTTGCTTCTAGAATTTGTTATAACTGAATGCAATGTAACCTGCTAGTGTACATACTTTTCAGATTCGTCGTCAGTTGCTGACAGGTATTGGATTATGTGTTTCCTTTCCAGGTCTTAAGTTCTTCCAGGAGCTTCTTTGGCGTGGAGGACTTTGTGGATGAAGACAATAGTAGGCCATACACATACAAGAAGGAGAAGAGATCTAAGAACCCTCACAAGCACATTTCTTTCAAGCAGCGCACCATTGCCTACATGGAGCCCTTCACGCTCGACGTCTTCATTTCCAAGCGCTTCGTCTCGGCATCCCTTACACACCGATCGACTTGCAGGCAGGTTGCGGTTGCCGGGACCAACTCAAAGGACATCAAAGCGGTGCTCAAGTCGAGGTCCGACATACCGGCCTGCTTGGCCGTGGGCCGTTTCCTGGCGGAGAGGGCGAAGGAGGCCGACGTGTTTACCTGCACGTATACACCAAGGGAACGGGACAAGTTTGAGGGAAAGATTAGGGCAGTTGTTCAGTCGCTGATCGATAACGGGATCAATGTGAAACTTTATCTTGACTGAGTTTGTGTTGGTATGAATAGTCCCGTTGAAACTTGCAAATGAGTTATCTGTTGCTAGGGATGTAAGTTGGAAGTGTTTTTGTGTCATAAAGTCTGATCCAAAAACTTGCTCAAATGAAATGGAATGACATTTCAGGTAATTTGAGTGAGGTGAGAAATGAACTAGAATGACATTTGACTGTAATTAGTTAGCTGACATAAACACATTATTGGATACCTACTTGCGTCCTTGTGACCTTGTCTGTTAACGTGACCATAAATATACTTGGAGCTTTAGTGCCCAAATAAGCCATCGTTTTCATTTTTCTTGCACTGTGTATTGTGATCGTGATCGCCTAGAAGCCGAGACACTTGTCTATCTACGACCACCGAGACGTCATCAGTTTTTTTTGGTTGTTGTTTCTGTCGTACGTAGCTAGTGGAGTGCTCAAGTGAAGTCCACCAGCAGTTGGTTGAGCTGAATGCGGGCCTGAAGCTGAGCCAGGCCAACAGGAAAAGAAAACTGACGAAAGCGAGCGAAGAAAAGGCACAAGCTACGGGTGGATCGCTTCGCTTTGCTTGACTGCTCCACTAAGTTTGAACTGACCAGCTGCTATGCTAGCCTTGACATTGTTATTAATTTCTAGTAGTACTAGGTCACTGGAGATCGATTTGGACCCCAACTAGGATGGAAGTACACATGACACAGGAAAAGGTTAACAACAGCCTAGCCATCAGCATGGCAATTGCCAATTGGCACTCTGTCTGTTGATTCTAGCTAGTAGCCATTTTCTATCTCCGTCTACCAGTGGTGTCTACGATGATGAGGCATTCCTCCATTTTCTCAGCTACTAACCTACAACAGATGGAGAATCGTGCAGCAGTGAACGGACACTGTCCAGCTTCCATGGGCCCCTCCCTTGTCATCGACGTCTGCTGACTGACTACGTACTGACTGGTCTCCAGATCGATGCAGACCATATAATACTACTCCGTATATATGCATGAGCGCTCCTTACCGTTGCCATCAAGGTTGTCACGGACGAAAATCTTGTTTCGTGATAATGCGTGCTCTGTGGATTTTTAGGATTTGGAAACCAAAACTTGATGGCAGAAAATAAAGGAGGCAGTACCGTTCAATACAGTTTTTATCAAAAATACCGTCCAATACAAACAACACTAATGTTAACTCCAAGTAGTGTCCACATTACTGCAACCGCAAACAATTCAATAATTTCTTGTACTGGCCACTGAAAGGAACATTCCCAGTACTCAGCTTGTGGAGCGTGCAGATTTATCCCCACAAAGTTTGTATTTCACTATACCAGGTTACCATTTTCTTTCACCATACACATTACACAGTAGAATTTGCCGAAGCAAACAGTCCTCGGAGTTTTACATGCCACGTCAAAATCAAAGTGGCACGCGTGTATATATCGTATACTAATTAATATGGAGTATATACTGTACCACGAAAATTTCTGTACCCCACCACCACCACCTTCTATGCGCTATATCTTGTTTCACACAAGTTATCAAATCAAACTGGTTTGCGCCGTCTGTCATCTCAGTTGCTCAGGTGGTGTCAGGTTGAGCACCATGTCAGGCCCCTTCTCGCCGGTGGCCGAGTACTCGTCCGGCACAGGCAGGCCCAGTTCTTCGAGGATGAGCCGGATGACGCCGCGCGTGACGCTCCCCAGCGACAGCTTGTTCACCATCACCGCGATGGCGAAGTTGTTCTCCACGTCGCAGAACCCGGTCGACCCGCCCATCCCGGAGTGCCCGAAGTACCTCATCTTGCCGCTGCTGGCATTGTCGTACCTCCTGAACCCGAGCCCGAACTTGCCGTCCTGTTGCGCCATGCCCTCGTACTCGCCGACGCCCATGAACGCGTCGAGGATCTTGTCGCTGCTGAACATCCTGCTGCTGCCGCCACTTCCCAACACCACCGCCGCAGCTTCACTGTCGGCGTCACTGGTGCACAGCTGGCTGTACCCGTTCTTGTCAGTGCTGTTGACATCCTGGAGGTTTCCCGTGGAGCCACTGCCGCCCTTCTTCTTTCCAGTGCCCTTCTTCTTCTTGAGTGGTGCGGTGGGGAACTTGGGGGTGTGCACATGGCTGCCGAGGGGCGGCTTGGAGCCAGAAGAATGCGGCGGAGGAACAGAACCACCTGTCGCTAGCGCCGCGTAGTATCGAGCGAGCGCACGAGCGGAGCAGTGGCCATTAGCAGCAGGGATGATGGCCCGCCGGACATTTAGTGTGTTGAAAAGAGCTGGTAGACCAGACGCCATCTGCGCGATGTTGTTCAGCAAAGCTGGTGGCACATCTGCCCCTGCCCTGATTCCTGATAGCTTCTGGAGCTCCTCGGTGTCAACTGTCAGCGCTGCCAGCCGAGTTTCAACACCTGAGAATGCCACGGACGTCAGACAAAAGGGTATTTAGAACAAGATAGTATGCATATCGGTCAGAGTAGATATTCCATCCAGGAGCTTGAAACTTCAAGATAAAGATTTACTACCTTTTATATGAACTGACCAAATAAGCACTAAACATTGTGAAATCATACAGAAAGGGTGACTACCTGAAATTTACTATTGCAACATGAAATGCTAAAACTGTGGCGCTGAAGCCTTAAACTTCATTAGTAAAAAACTTTAAATCATTAACCTGATGCAGTACTCTACAGATGCGTATGTAGTCTCTCCCACACTCATAGCTTGGCTGACAAATATCTGCCCTCCATTGAACCCCCCCCCCATTCCCTCCTAGGTAGGAAAATCTTACATTCGAGATATCAAATTATTTTTTCTTGCTCCCGAGGACAACCAGAAATAGATCTCGAGAGCAAATTGGATTTCTTATCATAAAATAAGCTACAGATTAAGTGCACAGTGCTAAAAAAAGGATCTAATATTTGTAATCGATCTAAGCCCTGATTCATAAGAGATCTGCAACATACCTGGTGGAATGCCAACATATAGCTCCCCCTCAATGTGAAGAGGACGAACAATAGCCTCTTCTAGAACCTCTTGAAACTTCTTCCCAGATGCATGCTATTATTGTCAAATACCAGAGTTAGGATTCGTGAAATTGAGTTACAACATTACATTGACTTACAAACCCCATAATTAAGCTATGGGACCCAAAAAGAGAACTTGATGGGGGTTTACATCTAAATTTAGCTAACCATTAACCTTAAATTTAGTATGACCCACACAACAATCTACTAACATAATTAACAAAGGTCAACTCTCTCATTACAAACAAGGCTCAATTTATGTGATGGCAGGAAGAAACATACCTCTATGACTCCCCCACACAGCCAACCAAAGGAGAGGTAATGGTAAATTTGTGTGGAACCAGGTTCGGTCTCAGGTGTACACTTCGTAATCTGGTTTTGTGTCTCCTCCCAGTCACATACCAACAAAGGATCATTCTTCACCACATCACCCAGTGCATTGTGCAAACCGGATGTGTGATTTAGAAGATGATGGACCTTTATTAGAATTTAGGAAGTAGCCAATGAGATAGTCTATTAGCCAAGAAATGTCATGTCTCATCAAATAACAGACGCGGCGAAGTTGTATACGTTACCTTTATTAACTCCTTTCCATTAGTTCCAAAATTTGGCCATATGTTGGCAACTGTTTCCGCATACTTCAGCTTCCTGAAAGATTGGATTATGATGTCACACAATAGCTGGTGCAACTTCAACTTGTCGAATAAATGTCAAAATGCACAGTTTAAGTTTTTAACATCTATTTTGGCAATTCTACATTACACTCACAAAAAACGGACAGGTTAGAAATGGTTATTGGACCATTTTTCTTAAAATAGTCCCAGGTGGACCATTAAGTGAGCAATTTTCCATCTAATAAGCATATAAAGAAGGAATATCCTTGTTTTGTAGGCAAACCAGTTGGGATATTATAAAGGAGTGGAATGCCACAATGTTACAGCTCACACCCCCCATAAAAAGATTCCATGAAGATGCTATACGTAAAGATGAGAGACAATTTATAGCACACCAAATTCTGTAATATAGTGTAAACTAATATCATGCAGACAGATTTAAACTGGCAAGGTTAAAAGAAACTAGGCACTGGATTAATACTCACCCTTTGTCCACAAGCCAATGTACCATCCCAGCAGTGATACCCTTAGTCACTGAGAAAACAGGAAAGAGAGAATCAGGTTGAACAGGTCGGGGATCATACTTCCCCAACATACCAGCAGCAGTATCTATTATGACCTTTCCATCTTTATATGCGCAGACCTAGGGAAGACACAAATGTAAGTGCTCCGCACACAGATCCTAAATTTTGTACAGAATTTCTGCAAGCGTAGTTGAATAATAGATTCAGAGGAGAGTCCTACCTGTATTCCTAAAATTTTGTCGCTTCCCAACTCAAGCAGATAATTTCTCAGTTTAGACTCCACATCAGAGTTAGCAGGTGAGTCAAAAATCCACTGACTGTTAGGTATTTGTCCGTGTGTCAAACTCCTGACCAAAGTGAAGACATAAAAATCAGCAATGAAAGAAATGAGTGAGGTGATGTTTTTACTATAAAGATGGTGCAACCATTGGCATGACAATGTCAAGTAAACAGCATCTCACCCTAACAAAGTTGATTCAGCAAATGGCCTCATGATGTCCAGGTAAACTATCCTAACATTTAGTGAAGCTGAAAGACCTGCAGTTTTTTTTTTTTTAAATAAATGTCATTAAGATACTGGATACCTTAGAGGAACGAGTAAGCCCAAACCAAACACATACTGTACCTCTGAGGAGATTCAAGACCCTCATAAATATTATGGCATCCCCAGGGAAAGCATCAACCTAAAGGCATGAAAATGTCCATGTGACACCCCATTTATTGGCAGTGGAAACTGGAAACTAGCAAGCTGGGCATTCCAACTCACAGGATTAAAGCGTTGAACCTCCTTCTTGTTCAATTTCATCTTTTCTTGAAGAGCTTTTTTATTTCTCTCTCTTTGGTCATTTAGTGCCTTTATGTTCTCCTAATAATAAGTATGAATAACCACAAATAAACTGTTACTCCAAATATCCAAAATTACTAAAATGGAGACAAGATGACGAACAATGGATCTAGTAGACTTCAGTCTACCTTTGCTTCACTTGCTGTGGTTGACTGGCGAAAGAATATTGTGGCAATATCCATAGCCTGCTGAGGCATGTCAACCCGCAGTTTAAGCCCCATCTCTGAAAATGCTGACAGCAGTGCCACATGATCTCCCTACAGATCAACATGTTACATCTCAGATGTGTAAATTACAGGCAATTAACTAAAGTATGATAAGCTGGAAACTACATGGCAAGCTATTTTGTAAACTTGGGTATGAAATGTCAAAATTTCCAAAAACAAGTCAAGTGACTCCAGGTCCAAGGAGAGACATCCCTTTGGCTTCGTCTTATGAGAGGGGAGTATCGAACTCTTCAGGGAGGTATATGACCTCCGAGCACTTAGCTGGAGGCTCTACCAGGCGAGTTATTGCTCAGTTCTCAACTTATCTCTTATAGCTTAGGGATATTGTTGGAATATAAGTGAATTGCCCACCTCTCCCCATCAGCTTAAGCTTTTGGGGAACTGGTCGGTGCATGCAACTCAATATGGTATCAGAGCCAGAGGTCTCGAGTTCGAATCCTGGTTAGCGCAATTAAATGAAATAATTGTTGCTTGCTCCTATTCCACGTTTGAGGCCTGAGGGAACCTCCACGTGAGGGGGAGTGTTGGAATATAAGTGAATTGCCCACCTCTCCCCATCAGCTTAAGCTTTTGGGTTGAACTGGTCGGTGCATGCAACTTAATAGATATGTTGCTATTGTAGCTTGGGGACATATCTCCCAAGGCTGCTTGATTTCACTTATTGGGGATATGGCCATCTTAACTACCAGTCTTATCACATCATAAACGAGTAATACCAAAAGACAGATAATATTGTTAAAAGAAAAGACAAGAAAATAAACAAGGTATGCTTGCATGGGTTCTGAATCTACAGTAAGAAAAGAAGGGAATAGTTTTATATTATACTAGCAAGGTACTATCTACAGTAAGGATAGAAGGGAATGTGCATTATTTAGAAGATCAAGGTTCACAAACCTCTGCACATGACAAAAACATTTTTGCTAGTGCCTGCGTCATAGATTTAGATATGCGCTTAGTGAGCCCAAAGTCAAGGAGAATCGGTTTATGCGGAGGTTCCTTGCTCACAAGAAAATTACCTACAGAAGAAAAAAAATGCATGCGACTATGAATTAATGTGCAACCAATGCAGAGCGGAAAGGTGAAAGAAACCTTCCCAAAATGAATATAATCTAAATACCAGGGTGAGGGTCGCCGTTAAAGAAGCCATCAATGTATATTTGATGAGCATATGCACGGGTTATCTCTTCGACCAGTTTTTGCTTGTCAACACCATATGCTTCCAATGAATCATTATCATTTAAGCGAATCCCATCCATATATTCCAAAATTAGAACCTTGTCAGTTGACTGACACACAAAAGAACAGTCTGTCAGATGACGGTAGCTTGATTTTCGAAAATTAATATGACAAACAGTATAGAAACTGACAGATAGACCTGAATAACTTCTGGAATGAGTACATCAACAGCACTGGAAACACTGCCACTCCCACAGTCAGTTTTGCGACTAAGATTCCTGGAGACGGCCCTAGTATTCTCTAAAATTGAAGAATTTATACCATACATTATCAAGACAACCTCTTCATGAGCCACTAGGCTTTGACTCTAATTTTAAAGAGAGGGACAGAACATGGAAAATCGTGCAGAGAAGCATATGGCAATATTAGTAAGAACCTGAGCAAGGAAAATACCTGCTTCATGGTTGAAATCAAGTTCCTTTGGAGCCTCCTTGCACCATTCATCAATCATTGGATTAAAATCATACTGAGGCTCTGCCCACGCTATCCATTCAACCAATGATTTTGCATTCTTTAGATCCTGACCACCAATACAAAAATGTAATAGACTCCAACTGTGATAGACAGCATACTTGCAGGTTAGAGATAAACCTCTAATATGATCTCCTTGACACCATCATGCTGAATTTTGACAACTACTTCTCTGCCATCTGCCAGAGTTGCACGATGAACTTGCGCTATCTGTTACCAAATGTTCATTGGGAGGCTCAACTGAAATGAGCACACTATGATTTATATCAGATAACTAAAGTTCACTTTGATAATACAGTACTTACTGATGCGGTTGCGAGAGGGTCCACGACAAAATCAGCAAATAGATCACTCATGGGTTCTCCAAGTTCTTTCTCTATTGTTCCACGAACCTGCACAGCAGAGACAAGAACTAGGATAAGTAATTGCTTAAGTAACCTGCACGACAATACTATATTAGGACCAGACAAGAATTATCAATCTTTGATTCTTCCATTCATTCAAGGACAAGCATGCGTACCTCTTCAAAAGGGCGTGGAGGAAGTGAATCCTGCAACTGCTTGAGGACATTTATGTAGGGTTCAGGAAGTACATCTGCTCTTGTGGATAAATATTGGCCCATTTTCACCCATAAACCTTCTAACTCTATCATCAGGTTGAGGACACGGCGAGCATTTCGCTCATGTGTTTTCTTCCATATAGCACTCTTTTTACCAGTGCTAACCCATTGAACTCTCTTCTGAACAGCCTGCTTGTGCATCAAGAAGATGTTAATCTGTTTCGAGAGAATGGAAGAGGCTGCCTATGGACAAACATCATTGAGAACAGGAATAGAACCACACCTTATAGTCGAAGTAGATAAACAGTGCCATAGAGAAAACCTTGAGGCGCCTGGTAATGGTGTTTCCCCATCCCATTGTAGGTTGGCAAGTCAGGACAAGCAGGGACAAAAATTCTGGCACACTCTAGGCTCCTAGTAAACCAGTTAGTTTTCTGCAGTGTCACAAGTTCAATAAAGAAGATCCAAATTATTTTTTGAACGTAAGATCCAAATTAGTATATTTATCAGAATTCAGAACTACTGATTCATTCTCAGGATAGTTAAGACAAGGACTTGACACGAAAATCAAATATATATGACAGGTTCCATTTCTGTTAAATCAACTAAGGATGGAGTAAATAAACAAACAGCAAAAGAAAGGATTCACCCATAATTAGTGCCGCTCGCTGTCAGGGCAATTATTCAGAGATAATGACTTGACATGATAATCAGATTAACTTGACAGGTACCATTTATGTGAGATAAACCGAGGATTATAGAGTACAGAAGAAAACAACAAAACCGTAACTGAAAAGGATCCGCGCATTCCACGCCGCACATTAAGTAACATGCCAATGAGATGAGCAAGTAGTTTCCAAGACAATACACACCCAGAAATACACATCACAGCTTGAAAACTTGAACCTTGTCCTCACTCCCCGCAGGGTTTCCCACGTGTTGCAACTTTTCTCCTTCGCAAGTACGCCAAGACTTTTCCCATCATAATTCAGGAAACCATCACAACAGCTCGCAAAATCGCTGGCCTGTCAAATTTGACGTGCGGGGACCACTGAAAGTTGCTCAACGGCTTAAGGACAGGCACAAAAAAAACCACGGAAACAGTGTCTGCATCATCAAGCACGCTGCTTCCACAACCAACACCGCAAGAGAAGTACAGAAGCACGCCCCCAAATTCCAAGCCGCTGAATAACACATGGACAACATGATTCGAGCAATCCTACTTGTTGAGCAAAGCAACACTACAAGCCCCGGAAGCCGGAAGGCGCCGGTTGGGGGAAAACCATGATCTTTCGCATGATTCTAACACCATGTGGGATTGTGCGTGCTATTTTAACTGCTTTACTTGATCATCAAAGGCTCCATGCACGCAAAATCAATCTCCACTAGTACTTTACTCGATCATCAAAGAAAGGCTCTAGTGCGCGAGTGCAACAAAAGGAGATTTATATATAATACCATCCGTCAGCAACTTAACATAAAGACGCATTTTTTTTCAGTCTGATCGCACGAGTCATTTATCCTCACCAACCCCAACCCCTTCGGCAGGCACCCGTAATCCCAACGCAAAATCGACGCAAGAACCAGATGTAACGCCCAAAGGGGAGGGGAGATTACACCGGAACTGGCCGCGAAACCGCACAGAGCGGCAAAACCCACTCAGGCAATCGCAAGCGCAACACACGGCGGGGATTTCCGAGAACACCCCGCCCCCCCAAGAAACCGCCGAGAACAGGGGGGAAGGGAAGAGACTATTACCTCCAATCGCTGAGCTCCGCGAGGCGAGGAGGAGGAAATTTGGCGGTTTCGGACGGGCGCCTGGGCCGCGCAAGTCGAAACTGAACCGGCCGGACAGATTCGCGAAAGAGGGAAAAATAAAAAAAGAAAGGAAAAGGGGAGGATCAGTTCTGTTGTGAGGTGGTGGGAACGAGGACAGAAATTTCTGGTCCTGACTCCTGTGAGGAGGAGGGAAGAGGAGCTTTGCGGAAGCAGACAGTGTGTGAGGGGACAGAGGAGACCTATAGGAGTATTTTATTCCGGGAGTCCGGACGAGGCTGCTTTGCATCCAGGCCCCGACGGTTTGTCGCTATTGTGGATTCCACTCCGCCATGACAAGTCAGTTTTGGGTTGGAACCCCGTTCGTCTTCGTCCCCTACTAGTCGTCCCCTGCATCTGCATGCGGTTTCTTCTTCCTCACGCACCTTCCTCTCGTGCGGACGTGCGGTGCAGGAGCAGGACAGCAGCAGCAGCGACAATGACATCGAGCCTCACAAGTCACAGCGTGCTTTTCAGTGAGAACGCATCGGTCAGTCAACGGGGAAAACTGTTCGCCGTGCGGTTTTTGACCTTTTTGTGGTGTGGATGACATGGATGGACGATTCCTGTTCCTTCGCAGTGTGGTGTGTGGATCATAGACGCCGCCGCCGCTTTGGTTTTAACGAAACGGAGAAAGAAGAATGACATGCGTTCTAACCTAGGGCTGTTCACATAATTTGACTTTTTTTAATCAGCCTGTTTCTTCGTGGTTTCAGCTAGGGCTTATCTCAATCATGATATAGTATTTTTCTCTCACAACAACAAACCAGTCAGACTTATTAGTCCAGAAACCAATCAGCGAACAGACTAAGTGTATAATACCTAGCAGGAGTGTCTGGATATTGTAATGGTATTTCCCCTTTCTTTCCAGGGTTGGTTTCGTAGGACTCCCAAACCATTTTGACTTTTTTTTTCTTGTGGTTCATTCATCATCACTAAAATCATCCAATGTTTTCTTTAAACCTTTAGTTATGTTTATGGTCAACAACTATGATTTGTGACTGAAAATTTCATCTCGTATAATTTTTTTTCGAATACGCAAAATATTTATATATTATTATATTAAGAAGAAGAGTTTAAACATATAGACTACACGTCTCTATCGAGCGCCGAAAGAGATCGATCTAAAACAGCCGCAACTGGACCATCTCTCACACAATTGAACATTGTTTATGAAATTGTGACATAGTTATAGTTGTCCTTATTCCACCGTATTAGCATCTCTTATTTTATATACGATACGATAGCTCTGTCACATAACTTTACAGTATAAAATTCATCATGCATGGATGTTTTATTCTAGATCCACCATTAACTCCATTAGCTTATTATACTGGTATACACCACCAATAAGCTAGAAAGTAGCCAAACATAACCTTAACCTACGAGTTGACATGGTAAGTACTCGCTCCATTATAAATTATAATTCTTTTTTAATTTCATAGATATATTACCATTTAGAACAAAGAAAATTCTAAGTAACATATATTACATGCACAATGCATTTCTATCTTTGTGTCGTGAATCCTAAGTCTTCCAGCACCTCACGTCTTCTTGGACCATGCGTGCATAGGGGTAGATATCAGCTAGCTCGGCTCGGTCCAGCTCGGATCAGCTCGTTAGGTTAATGAGTCAGCTTGGCTCGGCTCGTTAATATTATAAGTTAGAGGGTAGCTCGGTTCGACTCGCTATCGAGCTCAAGCTGACTCGTTTAGCTCGTGAGTTATAAAAAATAGGACACACATATTTATAATATTTATGTTATATTAATTTTAGAATGTGACGTCCACCATTATGCAACCATACATGATTAATATATCAGGTTTATCAAAAGTATCAACCATACAACATAGTTGATCCATCCATGATCATGCAGTTTTAGCATACTAAATAAGTTGCTTATCACCACAAACTTAGGAAAATCCACATATTTAATGTCAGCATCATCATCTTCTCCGTGAAAACAATACATAAAATCAACATTTAAGTACCACAACAATTATAAAATTAAAATTCATACGAAACAGCTGAAAATAAGGATTACATATCAATAGAATATGTGTACACTTCTAGATTAGCATCACCATCTTCTGGATTTATGGTCGTAAGCTGATAGGCCTCAGCTCGTTTGAGCTCGTGAGCAGTTCGCGAGCTGACTCATTAAAATAGCGAGCTAGACTTACAGCTCAACTCACGAAAAGTTAAAACAAGCCGAGTCGAGCCGGCTACGAATCGAGCGAGTTGGCGAGCCGTGAGTATTTTGTCTAGCTCTATGCGCAGTCCATATCGGTGTGCGTGCTTGAAAAAAATAAATAAATTGTGCGCGATTCTTTTTAGAAAAAAATCATATCTTTAAGATGCTTGTAAATATTAATTTAAGGGACATATTTAATCGTGTACCAAAGCTTATATTTTTTTTTAAAAATCATATCTTTTTAGACTTTTTATATGAAAGCTGTAGATCTTGATAAGATCTATATCTTTTGTCTGAAAAGTACTTTTATGCGACATTAAGGGCCTGTTTGACACAGCTTACAATAACTATGAGCTTTTTTTTTTGCCAAACACTCATTTTCAAAATAGCTTTATGGATGAAGCTGCTTTTCTCCTTCTTTCCCAAAGACATGAGTGGGGATAAAACTAAAAATAATAGTTTATCCCAACTCTCTTCCTCTGAACTGAGGTGTTGGTAAAACTATTTTGCCAAAAAAAAAATTCAAAACAGCTCAACTTTACTAAAAAAAAACTGCCTATGAAGTTATTTAAAAAAACAACATTACTAGTGAAGCTAAACTGTGCCAAACAAGCACTAAAATATGAAATACTCCGTATTTGAATTTTCTAAGAAGACAAGCTCTATTCTCTTGAGCATCTTAACAGTCTTAAATGAAAAACTTCAAAACTAAAAATACGTAGATCTCATTGATAGCTACAACTTTAATATAAAAGCTATCTTCAATTGACACAATACATGAATAATATAATTTTCGTGAGTTGACAAGCCTTTGCGAGATTAATATGTTGTTCAAACTTTGTATTGTTTTCTCGAGTATCTTAACGATTTCAAATATAAAAACTCAAAACTATAAAGTATATCTCACTGAGAGCTACAACTTTAATATAAAAAAATATCATCATTTGACACAATGCAAAAAAAATTATTTTTCTAATGCGTCAAGAGCTAGTACGTGATTATTATGCTGTTGAATCTAATATTATCTTTTAGCATCTTAACGTCCTCAAATGAAAAAACTCAAAACTAAAAAGTTGTATATCTCATCGAGATCAACAACTTTCATATAAAAATCATCTTCATCTAACGCCAATCGATGAGTTATGATTTTTTTAAGTTTAAGTCTCGTCACGTCACTCCTGTTGACGTGACAAAACAACACTGTCACCGACGAGTGTGGCGTGACAAGGTTTGTCACGTGAAAACGTCATCCAACATGGTGGGCCGCACCGGTGTAGGTGATGTGATAGCGTGATTTTGTCACGCCAACCACACTGGCACGATCAAAAGAATCATATCGGTAAAAAAAT